TGACAATGATTATAATTTTTTCATTGTTCTTTACATCCTGGTTGTTAGTATTTTTAGGTCATTTGATTGGCTTGCATGAAAAAAAAAATACATATTACAGTGTTAATGCCAACACCTGATTTACTCTTCACTTTACATGATTCTGCCTGCCCTCGGAATAACCAGCGTGTTTATGGGGTTTATTTTGTTGTATTGAACATTGAAGTACAACAGGATGTGTGTGATATTTCAGCAGGTTTTTCTCTCATAGCCTAAAGTCTCAGTCAAAAGTGTGATTTTGTCCCCTTCTGTTTCTTCATTGACATTATTGATCCTGGATGTGTTTTTGTGTGTTCACAGTGCTCCCGTTCCACATCAAAGTGACAGTATATTGTCTGGCATCTTATCAGGATCCACTTCATTATATACTGTAGTACAGCAAGCTTTACTGGGCTGCTCAGAAACCAGTTTCTGAGGCTCTGAATATGTGAATGTAAATATCCTTTTGTTAGTTTTGTTGGATTCTGTGCAAAATTGCTAGTTCTTGCTTGGATCCATGCTCTTGTTTGTTTCCAGGCCGAGATGCTTTTTCAATACAAAGCTGCACAAAAATATTCAAAACAAGGCTAATGGGTTGGAATATGTCATGGCCTGATAGAATGATGAATTGTTTTAATTATAGTTCTAGTGGTTCTAGTGCATACTCGGCAACAGAAAATGCAAGTACTTGAACTGTGACTCGTCTTTTCAAAATGAACTTCGTCAATACTTGGAAGAAAGTAAAGTAAAGAGCTGTAAACAGTGTTTGAATTAGACTTGGGCCAACAGTTGCTGATGCACAGAAAAGTATCTGGTCTCTGACGTAGAGTCACTTGTGAGTAAATGAATGGATTGATTATCTAATTCATTAACATCATTAACATCAGTTTGCGCTTTATCTATACATTTTTTCTTGTTATTGTATAAAATCTTGCTTTATTAGCAAATGTGAAGATGGTAAAAACATTAATTATTGTTGTGCTTACTCGACAACTAATGCTTTGCGTCAAAAGAAATTGGCAGATTTCATTCAATATTCTCCTGGAATATAATTGTTTTAACATTATTGGAATGGATAGTTGAGATTACGTGTGGATATATGAAGTGATTTCACGATGGATTCAACTAGGGGTTTGGCTGGTTAGCATAAGTTGGTCTCTGCTAATATTTCTATTAACTCTCCATTGACAGCCATGCATTCTAGAAACATTCATTATACTGTATTATAGTAGATCTTTTACTATTGTATGATTTTTGTTATTGCAGATATATGGAATTACCCATAAATATACACAGTACTTAGTTGAAAATAAATTCCAGCACAGTATTACAACAATCATAATGAAATGACCCTTTACAATAGATAATGCTTTACAATGAACTATAGAGCTATATGTCAATTATATGTAAATCGGTATCTCTGTGATGCTTTTACAACATTTCAAATTTCTCAGTTCTTGCCATCTCTGAAAAGCCAAGCCAATGTTGATTCTTGTTTTATTACAAGCTCTGTCGCGTTTTCTTTTTGCAGACTCTCCCCAGTTCGGATGTTAAAAACAAGGAAAAAGTACAGTTTCGTTTTTGTGAAGGAAAAAGTACATACTTTTGAGTGTGTAGCAGAATAGTAGGCAAGCATACTACTTAGTAGTACATACTACCGCGTAATCATCATTAAAGGGTAACTAAACACCAAAACAACTTTTTTTAGTTAATGATCTGTAAGAATGGAGCTTCATAAATGCTGTTCATTGATTCGAGTACATTTTTTGACAATTGAGTATAAAGTGTTTTGATTTTCAAATATATGGTGTAAAAACGTGCTGCCCTCTTCAGGTTAAACGGAAAGCTCCTGCAGTAGGGGTACTTTCTGACGTAGCGAACTCTCAGACGCCACTCTGTCACGCCCTTGGTGCGAGCTCACCACGCCCTTGGCAGCCACTGGTATAAAAGCATCTGGTCATTATATAGATAATTTAGATTATTTTGTGTAGCTAGTAGCATAGTACAGTTAGGATAGCTTCAAGTTAGCATATATTTATCAGTGTTTAGTACAGTGATCAGGATAGTAACGGAATAGAGGTGGACATGGGCTTCTCCACACGCAGTGCCAAACACTGCTCGTCCTGCATGGACTCCTCCACCGCAGCGGCGTCTTGATGTGAATGATCATGGATATTTTAATCACAATTTATGGTTAGGATAAAGTTAATCCTCTGGGGTCGACAAACGAGCTGGCGCATTTTGCTGGATTTTTTCACATAGCGGCAGAATATCAATATGAAAATATGCCCACAGAGCGTGCGCTATTGAGATCAACTCGACGACAAAACTCATCAGATGCCGGTCGCGATGCGGGAGTTAAGACCGCAGTTTGAGCCAGTGTCTCGAATGGATTTGGCCCTGTGTCTACATACAATTCACCCTCATCCACTTCAGGTGAAGGTGAGGGAGAAAAGTCCTCGACTTCAAATGTCCGCTCTGTTGCAAAGGCAGCTACTTGCGTCACTCCAGTCTCTCTCTATTTTAGAGTCTGACAGCAGCTGTCACTCACGGCGGGTCTCAGGTGCACGCCCCCTAGCCCCGCTGGGGTCTGCCCATTTTTTCAGCATTTTTCAAATATTGCTAGTGGGTGGAGTCAGGCTCTGACCAGGGGTTTAGTTACCCTTTAACTGACAGCTCTGTTGCTAGTTACATGCATCCTGTCACTGTTTAAATTGTCCTGTTATGTTACAATCTTCTTGTTAAAATCCTCCACATTCAATTTAATTTAATTTATACTGTTTCTGAGAGAAATGTAGTAGCATGTGCATCTGCCAGTCGTGGGTCTTTCGAGGAAAACTCTCCTCATGTGTTTGCAATTTGCATATTGATGCATTTAAAAGTTAATGACCAAATGTATCTTTACAAAAGTTCACAATGCTGTTCCAGACGAAATATAATGTGGATAACATTGAATAAATATCTTTTCGTCAGGTTAGATACTGATTTTTAATCACTCATACCCCTTTCTCTAAACCTCCGTCGGACACACACATCCATCATGTTTGTAGTTTTTTTAACACTTTTTATTCGCGTTTGTATCCTCATCCAATGCGCAATGAGTTTGGCCAATAATAGCCATTAGATTGAGCACAGATCTAGACTTTGGATTATAAGTTATAACCAAAATGTAACCTAGTAGACCCTCTTTGGAATACTCATTTCAACATATTACGATTTTAATAGGCTACTATTTAGGAGAGAAAGTATGCAAATTGGGACGCAGCATCTATTTACAGATATGACAATACACGCACGGGCAAGTGACATATGTACTCAATTTTCCACTATAAACTATCCCACTAAGTCTAAAATATAAACGCTTATAGGCTTTCCACAGTGAATGAGGGTAAGACAAAAACACGTTTTGGAAGGTTTGATGATGTATTTATGATTTCAGTTTTGTTCATTTTGAACTAAAAAGTTATATAATGTACCTTTAGATAAAACATTTCCATGAACTAATTTTGTGAAAACATGCTTGCATTTTTACGTTTTAATCCACTTTGCAGCTTGTTTGTCCAAATATGGCTTTTTTGAGAGAAAGAAAAAACTTCACTCATTTAAGCCAAATATTTATCTTCATTTTTATCGAATAGAATAATAATAAAAAAGTACTTTTCCTCCTTAAAAAATGAAGGTACCTAAATGCCTTCAGAGGTTTCCAGTCAGAGTACTCGAGGGAGTCTCATAAACCAATTTGAACGGTTGTTTCCTCCTTAGAATCACTTCAGCTGTGTCCCAACAACCTGTGACCTCTCAAGCAGGCATGGTGACAGAGGTCATCACGTTACACCTGACAGCCACAATCATCATGGGCATGTGCAGCTGGAAATTACCATTGTCATTTATGAGGATAATTACTGTAATCTCCTCATACATCAGCCTTTACCAGCATAATGTATTGGAAATGAGGGATCTATTATAAGCTTGCTTATGGAACATTTGTTGCTTTATTCACTTAGTCTCTCTCTCTCTCTCTCTCTCTCTCTCTCTCTCTCCTGCTAACCCTCTTTCTCTCTCTCTTTTTCACACTCATACTGAAACCATCTTTTTAAATCATTAAATAACCATCTCATTCTGTGCCAACAGGTTTAAATGAAAGGAACTGTGGCATTACAAAGGCATTTAGAATTCATTCTGCTGTCAGGGTAATTGGCACATGCGACGGCAACAGGCTTTCAGTGTCACCTGTTGTTTTTTCATCATAAACATCCACCTGTGGCACATCGCAACTCATATGTCTGAAAATGTCATAGGGATGTAAATACTTTTTTCATATAAGTGTGACTGTTCTACTTTTGCTTTTCATACATTTGCAATGTTATGTCTCTTATTCATTATCACAACACAGTCGAAGGTGAGCAACAATTGGAAATTGGTGTTGTAAAAGCCATTTTATAATATAAATTTTGATTTTTTTTTTCTGTTTAGCAATTAGAAGTGACCTTTTGATTCTTATCTTATATCAAAATGTTGTTGTTTTTAAATCTTATAACTTTGTGTTTTCAAAATCTTTCACAGTGTTATTTTTATTTACTCAGATATGCAATTGGTATCAGACTTTTGGACCCCATATATTTAAATAAGCATTGTAAAACTCATTGTGTTTGATAAAGCTATATAGATCAAATTGTTAAGCTCTACCAATTGTTAAGTTCTACCAACTAAAGTTGTGTTTGCATTTACACACAGAGGGGGAAAATCAATTATTGACGACTGGTCAGAAGGACACATTCCAAAAATTGAGAGTTAATTTGCTGTCTGGTGTTAAAAAGTAAGAATAATACATACAATAGTCAATATAAAATTGACCATTGCACAGAAAATTAAATTGAACAGAACCAAATGTTTGATTTACTTGTTCTGAATGTGTTTACTGCTGTCTTGTGTGATTGTTTCTCTTCTTGTCGAAGAGAAACAATGCAAAAATCTATTGTTTGAGGAGAAAAAAAGATGTCAAGCTTGACAACAGAGATTAACTTCACTGGTATATCTTAAACCCAACTGATATTGACACTTGACAGAATGGACGATAATGAAAACCAAAAGTTCAGTGTTCAGCGCTGTGTTTACACTGAGCCATTTATTCAGCTGGTTCATTAACCTGGAGGACAGAGTCCTGCAAAGGTTATCAGGACATTTTTTTTGTGAGAAGAACTGAAGCTTGTGGTGTTCTGGAATGATGAAGAGGTATGCAATGTGTTGATGTGTTAAGTGTGGAGTGGGAACAATTGCCAGTCCCCTATGTTTCTGTTTAATGTGTTGGGATTGTGACAGCTTCAATACGTTATCAGTGATATACCTTTTTGTTGTGCTGCTGTTTTAGTGTATCTTTGGCTTTCGTCGCCCTGCTTCCATTAGCTTTTGGTTCAGAGCTGACAGGACTGTTTGGGAGCTTCACATCACCAAACTTTCCAAACGTCTACCCTAACCACCAGCATATGGTGTGGAATATCACAGGACCAGAAGGACACAGGTTGCGCCTCTACTTCACTTATTTTAGCCTGGAGCCTTCTCATCGCTGCGAATATGACTATGTTCAGGTTAGATCCATGTTTTCAACAGAGATTTAAAAGTGGGGTCATTTTATGGGACCACAGTATAAAAGTCCTAGGTAATGATTCCTATTTTGGTATCACAAAAAAATCAGTCTGTTGAAATTGGATAAAGAGAATTGCAGTTTTGAAGATGATGAACGAAAGTCTTATGGGTTTGGGACGACATTAGGATGAGTAATTAATGACAGAATATTCTTTTTTTTGTTTGTTGGTGAACTAATCCTTTAATATTAAAAAGTTATACTTCCTTTATTTGAAGGAAGGGATTATTTGAATGATTTTTCATTAAACACTTAATACAATGAAGATTATTACTGAAATATTTAAATATTTTGATAATAAATCAGATATGTAAATTTTAAAACATATAAGCCAAGCAAGTGTAAACATCTTATTGCCTATAAGCACCATTTCCAAGTAATATCAGAAAACTCAAATACTGAACATTTGATTAAACCTCTCTATCATGAAATGCACAGTATGGCTGTAATGTGAATGCAGGATACAGATGTGTGTTTGTAATAATTATTACTTGCTTAAACTTTTCAGGTGTTATCAGAAGGAAATGAGACGGTCCGGTTCTGTGGCGAAACGGAGTCAAATTACGGTGATGCTCCCAAAAACACTGTCATCTATTCTGCCAGCAACACCATGGACGTGCTCTTCAGATCAGATTACTCCAATGAGGGCCGTTTCACAGGCTTCCAGGCATTTTTTTCTGCTGAAGGTGATGGAAACAATGGATTCACAGCATGACTGTGTCTCTCTTCCGCTGTCACCTCTTTCTGTAGAGGCTAAAGGGTTGAACTAGACGCTAATTTAAAAATGCTAAATAAATCAAATATTGTATATTTACTTGTTTATAATGTTGTTCAGTATATCCTAAAGATATTTTAATTATACACAGTATATATAAATGCTTTTTTATTTTACTTGAATTGATCTTGGATGTTTAAACCCGAATGAGAACTGTTGCTAAATGACCTTGTTTTACTCTTTACAGACATTGATGAGTGCCTGAGCACTATGGATGGAGAGCCTGTGTGTGACCATAATTGCCATAATTATGTGGGGGGATTTTACTGCACTTGTCGACTGGGATACCAACTCCACGACGATAAGAGACACTGCCCTGGTAAGGCTGATATCAGAACAGATGAAAACCCTGGCCTGTAGTTTTTCTGCTTGTTGATTAAGAATTGTATTGGCCACTGTTCATGATAACGCTCTGATTGTGCAGCTAAAAGCGCTTTATAATTTTAATATGTTCCTTGAAGTTCACTCATAATGCAACAACAACAGTAAAACAAATATATATGCAGAAAAACAAATATTTTCAACCCTCATTCTGCCCCTCTGTCTGAAATGATACATTTTTAAGGAGCGGCTTCTTTAAGGCTGGTCAGTAAACGGCCATGGTTATGATTGGCAAACATCATTGCATTGGAAACAGTATCTAAGTGCTCCACACGTCTCTGGGGGGTTAATAAAGGCCTACTGAAGTGAAGTGATGTGTTTGTGTAAAAAAAAAATATCCATTTAAAACCAGATTGGTTAAATACAGATTGGAGATTAAAATAATATCAGATTTTTCTAATTTTAAATAAACACAAAAAAATTTTACATAAGTGCGAAATTTACTTTTGCTATGGTTAAATAAATGGTTAATCATTTTTTTCTCTACATAATGTTGATATGGCAACTAGTCAATACACTAAGTTTCGTCATGCTAGCATGTGTGGAAGTATTGTGTGTTACAACCACTGATTCTATATAGATCAGTGGTTACATCTATCCCCGTGTTATATTGTGCCCTGCTCACTTCTATTACTATTCGTGGGTGTCTTGCTCTGGAGGCAAGCATATGCAAATATATTTACCCTTGTGACATTACTGATCCCGCAAAATCCAAACAAGCATTTTCCATGCTGCACAATTAATTTCGAATGATTTCTGCTTCTCTTGATTAATTAAATATAATCATTGCAATATTTTCCCCACTGATTATTTGTCCTGAAAACATTTTTGTTTTTATTTTAGACTTTTACATTATCTTGCATTGGTAACTCTATTATCTGTCCTACATTTTCTGCCCAGTGTTTTGCTTTATCTTCTCAATCTGGCAACCATGCACATGCATGGTTATATAATTATAAAATATAATAAAATAATATATTATATATACACATATATACAGCAAAATAAGTGTGATCATCAGTTTAGACAGCAATAAACTCACATATGAGCAACAGTCCCTTTAACTGTAATTTAATATGTAAAAGTTTTTAATCAGAAGAAACGTTTACCTGTGTAAGACCTGAACAAATCTTTAAAGTTTGGGACATATTGTCATAGAGCTCAGTACTGATTGATGCTCCAGTAGTGATTCTAGTGAACAGCGGTCACAGCAACAGGCTGGGCAGACACAGCTCACCTCACTCTATCTATCAGCCCTGTCAACAGCTCTTGATTGAGCTAGCATGGCCTATATTCCAGCAGGAAATAGAGTCACCAAATAGTAGAGGCGAGGGTTTGTTATATCATTGATAGAGTGGCCTCAAATAACTGCATAGCGTTTTTGGATATAAGCGAGGATTGTGTGGGCATTCGAAATTGGCATATTTACATTTTCGACCTTCAGGTTGTGAAAACCTTTGGCAGAAAAATGGATTAGCTCCAAAAACTCCTCTCATTTAAAGTGCTAATGTTCACTGCGGTTCTGGACAGCGCTAACTGGCTTTAGCCTGAAGCACGCTTCAGCAACAGACTGATGATTCACTAGTGTGCCTGTATAAAGCAGTTGATCTCTGTCACTCGAAGCGAATCCAGGTTAATTACCATTGGTTCCTTAGGGAACAGAGTTAAAGAGATCAGTTGAAAATTATTACCTTTTTCTAGCTGTAAAACTGTGCTAATGATGGGTAATTAATCACAATTACCAGGCCAGACAAGCCTCTTAATTGTTTTTCTTTGCTAATGGGGAGGATAGAAACATCGCATCATATCACACAGAAACAATGACTTGTGTCTGAATCATTTAATCATATGAATTAGTAGACCTTCACCCTGAGATTCTTCATAGTAATTATTTGCATCTGCACTTGTTGGGGTTCATTTATTAAATTAATAGTATGCCCAAATATAAAAATTCTATCACCATTTATTCACCCTCAATGTTCGAAACCTTTATGACTTTTTTTTCTTCGGTGGAACACAAAATGGGAAATTCTAAATGTGACTCTGACTCCTATGCTGCCATATATTCCAAGTCTTCTGAAGCCATTCAATTTCTTTTTGTGAGAAGTCATTATTCACTGAAAATCTTTCCATCCACTAAGTACCGGTAACACTTATTGAGTCAATGAGTCAATTCATGAATGAATCATTGACTGAATCAACTGATTTGTTTAAATGAATTGACTCAAAAGATGGATTTATTTTATAAATCAGCCATCACTACTTATTCCATGAATTTGCTTATAGAGTGCGTGTGAAGGTTTTCAGTCAATATTACTTTTATAGATTCAGTAAATTATGCCTTTATGATGAAGTATTATTTTGAAGTTTTCAAGCTTCATGCAGGATGCAAAAGTGTAATCAAACTTATTTCATCATTTATTTTAATGGCCTTGGAAAAAACAAACTAAGAAAATGTTCAAACTTTCATCTTTTGTGTTTTTGTGGGTTTTTGTAAGACAAATGGGTTTGGAACAACATGGTGTTGATGATGCTATTGAATATGTATGTGTCGTTTTACTACTGATTTGCATTTTGATTTTGCACTTCTGATAAAAAAAATTAAAATAAAATTACTGTCATGGCTATAATCTTTTTATTTCATCATAAATAGTGGTCAAATATCAGAGCTTAAAAATCCTAAATCTAAACCAAAGCCTAAATCTTACTGATGATACCCTTTAGTCGGAAATAGCATTCATTGAATCTAAACAAGAACGATCTGGGCAACCAGTAATTTTTGCATCTAAAGTGGTTAAAGTTTGAGTAAAGGTGTTCACTTATTTGCGTGTTTGTTGCACATTTATGATCATATCTCATTTATGATCTAATTTAAATGCAAAAAATAATAGCTTATTTACCTGAAAAATTGACTGTTTCTATCTCATCCATTTTTTTTTAACTGTAAAGAGTTTGCATTTGCTTAAGTATGTAACTTTCATGCACATAATGTTTGTAACTCTTCATTTCACTCTACGTAGATCACAGAAAGCACTTTCTCTGGCCATTTTACAGGTCGAAACGTTTATTTGCTTTTGAGCATCCCAAATCAATGTTGCAATTTCCTGCAGTCCTCAGTGTTAAGTACAGCATGGATAGTTGGCGGTTTAATGTATGTGTGTGTGTGTGTGTGTGTGTGCACGTTTGACAATTTCAGTGGGTGTGAAAATGCTTTTTCCCAATGTAGCTGAGTGTAGTGGGCAGGTGTTTCAGGAGAGGTCAGGAGAACTGAGCAGTCCAGAGTACCCAGGTGTTTATCCCAAGATGAGCCATTGTGATTACACCATCAGTTTGATGGAAGGCTTCCAAGTGACCCTGAAGTTCCAAGACCTGTTTGATGTGGAGACTCATCCTGAAATCCACTGCCCTTATGACATCCTTAAGGTTGGTTATTTCTCAGTCTGCAAGCTCTGACAGCAGGGTGGGAGTTCAAACCTATAACACCAGCCATAATAGCAAGTGTGTGGAGTCGGACACATCTCAGTCACTTTAATGGGGTCCTACTGGGTCCTTTGGGAAGTCTATACCTCTACCTGATAAAAAAAATACTCCTAATAATATTCAGATTTTATGAGATTGTTTTATTTTTATATTGGTTGTTAAATACAGAAAAAATGTTTTTATTTTAAAAAATGTCTAAAGATTTGCTGTTTCTACATGATTTATTTTTCTCATAGATTTTTAGTGAATTGTATTGAATCCAGTTAGGGTCAATTTGGCCCCAACCATAAAAATCGTGCCCACATTTTTAACATTATACGTATGAATAAATGTAGAGGAACTATAAGAAAATTTACTCATAAATGTGTACAGTGTACTAAATTTATTATACATTATTTAATATGGTTATAGAATCACCACAAAACCGTCATGCAGCACTATTGAAGACTCAATTATAGTTACAGTACAAATACTGTTTGAAGAGAGACATATTCTGCCTTCTAGTGCCCTTGTTGAGTGTTAGAAAATATTGATTTTAGAGTGATTTACACAGAGAAGATTGGCTCTCCATATGCTTGATTTGCTTGGTAAGTGTTTAAGAGTGTTTACTTTTCAGAACCGATTTTACACTCTGCATTAAAGCTCATTCGATTTTAATGACTGGAATCCAATTCCCCTTTTATGGGTTTAAACATCTTGTTATGCTAAGCAAATTTGCAATTTTGAGTTTAGCAGTTTCCCCCCTCAATGCCTCTAAAACCAAAATGGTCCCCTTAGCACTGGTGTAAGTGTCAGACTACTCCACTAATCACTGACCTGAAGGCTGTTGAATACATAATGTATGCTCTCTCATGCCCTCCACAACCACCTATTATTTTTCCTCACCCTCCCACCTCCCAAGAGGCTTGTTTATATGTTGCCATTTGTATTCACTGACAAGTCAAACTGTTTTGTTTTAGATCACTGCTGGTGGAAGGGAGTACGGCCCATTTTGTGGCAGGACCCCACCGAGAGAAATTGAGACAGGAACTCACAAAGTGCATGTGACCTTTCGCTCAGACGGTTCTGGGAAAAACAAAGGCTGGAAGATCAAGTATACCAGCACAGGTAGTTTACAACCCCCTATTATGTACCTTTATGGTAAGTAAAGCATAATGTATACCCAACCTCAGTTTATTTTGTGATAATAAGCAGCTGACTGTGCATAATCCTACATATTACATCAATACTACTACTACAAATTAATTAAATACATACTGTATGTGTGTCACGGGAGCTGCTAACAGGAAGCACACAAAGATTCAAACAAAATAGTCTTTAATCCAAATATCTCTCAGGAGAAATCAAGGAAGCAAACAATACACACCTTAACATCAATGCCACCGAACAATGAACTGAAGGAAGACAAGCAAAAGAGCTTATTAATGGGCAACATGTGAATGGGATATACAATCAAGCGAACTAACACAGGAAAACAGGAACTTGAAACACAATAAAACATATCAAAACCCTGACAATGTGGACATAAAATATTGGTTTGTGTTGGTTTGTGGTCGCTGATACTGTTGCACTCTATTGAGAAAGGGCTGACCAATGAATACTATGACTATGAATATATGTTTTGTGTGCATTCTCTCTCAAACACATTTCAAGAAAATGATGAATGGTGTGCAATCTACAAAAACTAAATGTTTTGAAGCAGGGTTTCAGATCTGATGGCTGTCTGTAGACATATTGGACATGATGCATTACAGAATCACATAAACATTTAAATGAATAGTTAATGGCATGGTTTTCATTGCTGTTCTTTTCTCTCAAAGCCCAACCATGCCCAAACCCTGTGACTCCTCGACATGGACATGTCCAGCCCCAGCAGTCTCAGTACATCATGACAGACACCTTCAATGTCACCTGTCATCTGGGCTATGAATTAATTCTGGTAATCATTTTTTCCTTTTTTTTTACTTTCTCTAAGATTTAAGAAAAAGAGCTTGGCATGCTGCTAGAGAGTTAAAAATGACTTTTTGCTTCTTAAGGGGGAGGAAGCTTTGCCCTTTTATCAAGCCACATGCCTGAAGGGTGGATTTTGGAATGGACCACTGCCTGACTGCATCAGTAAGTTGCTCAAGAATCCCAGAAGCATGAAGTGTGTTTAATCGTCAATGGGGGTTTACTGCAACAAAGAGGAGGTACGTTTTAAAACCTGAGGTGTTATTTCAAGCTGAAGTGGGTGAAATTCTCCGTGACTGTGGACTCAGAAAATAATTCTGTGATGAAATCATGATGACGCATAACAGAAGCACATTTTTAATCAAAAACATTTCAGATATGCAGTTTATCTTGAAAAAAAGACAATGAAAAAGGGGATGATAACAATATGTACCGTATTTGGTAAAATTAATTATTAAAACAACAACAACAATAATTGTCTTCATTTTTTTGCATAAAAAATCTAAACATGCAAGTAAATTAAAAACTAATTCAGAAGTAAAATTATTTGACTTGTTTACAGAGAAATCTATTTTTCAGATCTCCCTGGCAAAGATTTTTTGAGGTGTGGATTAATTTAACATTCTCTTTTTCTTTTGCTTCTCAAGTAAATGTTTTTATGTTGTTAGTAATTTCAACACTTTTAGTAAGAAACAAAACTAAAATACCAATTAAGATTTTTTTTCTGTAAAAAGCAGTGATTAAACATTCCTTATTAAATTATTTATAGAAATAACATATGTAAAAAGATAAGAAAATAGATCTTATCTTACATAAAAAGACAAGAAAAAAATATTACAATTAAAGAAAAATAATCAGATTTAATTCAAAATGAAAGCAACAAATAATTAACTGTAAACAGATTTTAAGAGCCAGACATTTATATGACGTTTATTAAACTAAATAAATAAAAAATGGATATGCTTAGTGTTAGGACTGCTAGGGGTTGGCCGTAACAGGAAAAAATAAAAATAACATGCGTTTATTTCCAAAAGTGTTTTAACGTCAGGGGCAGACAAGGCCAAAATACCAATCTAAAATAATCTTTTGTTAAAGCTCTACAATTCCTAAAACAAAATACAATTTAAACTTACCTACCTCCCTAAACCAAAACAAAGTGAAAAGATATACAAAATAAAATGACGTTTAATATGACGTAAAATAAAATGACCATAGCAAACAAAACAAACCGGAATCCAAAATCGTAGTCAAACAGGCATGGGTCAGTAACAAGGATAAACAAAGGTTCAAAATCACTTTTACAACATCCAAATATCATTCACAGCACAATCTCAAATAAACACTTACAAACTCTCTGACACTCAAACAATAGCAAAGTTGGACCAATCAACAATGGCACAGTAGTGAGGCCGTCCTTATATGTGGATCAGGTGTGGAGGATAACCAATCAGAGCCTCCAACAAATTATCACCAGAACCTGTAACACAAACAAGCTCATGCACATATACACACAATAATACACAGGACAGAATGGAATCAGTGAGTAAACATTAAAATGACTCGTAACATGACTCGGGTTTTGGCAACACTGTCATTCTTTGTGTCTATAAACATGTGTAATTTACCAAATGCCTTTAATTTGCAGTTGTTGATTGTGGAAAGCCTCCAGAAGTGCATAATGCAAGTGTGGAATTCACCAAGACCACATATAAATCCGTGATCAAGTATTCCTGTGATGAATTCTACGCAATTGAGGCGGGAACAAATGGTAAGGTGCATGTCACAGGATAGCAAGACACTGCACTAATCAATCATCACTGGAGGTTTACAGCAATCCTTTTCTCTCTGAAATCAGGAGTCTATACCTGTGCACATGACGGCTACTGGAGAGATGCCCTGGGCGGAAAAATATTCCAGATATGTTCACCAAGTGAGTTTTATTTTAATGCGAATGGTTTAATAGATGGTTTATGTTTTAATATAAAGTACACTACCATCAAAAGTTTGGACACGTTTGACTGAATTTGTTTTTCAGGATCTCAAAACCTTCCTGTCCAAAAATCTTAAATGCTCAAATTAGTTGTGTAGACAAATATAAACTTTTATAAAATATAACATTATAGGTTTTTAATAGATCGTTAACCCAAAAATGATTTACTCACCCTCGAATCTGTATGAATTGAACATAAAAAGATATTTTGAAGAATATGGGTGACCAAACATGATCATATTTTTCCAATGAAAATTTTCATGTTTTTAGATTTGCCAAACTTTCAAACTTTTTTAAAAAAAAACATCCTTAATCCTTATCCAGTTAATGATAATGAACAACTCATGGGGCCTTTAAAAATGTTTGCTGTCAAAAAACGTTTAGAGAAAATTTGAGAAAAAAATGTCCAAATTTTTACCAGGTATAGTGTATATCCGTGTCGCATTGTCTGAACACTAATCTGGTGTCTGCCATTTCTGAAAGTTTGTGGACAGCCTGAGAAAAAGCTTTCCAAGGTGATTGGCGGGGAGAATGCAGAAAAGAACGAGATTCCCTGGCAGGTCATGATACGAATGGGTCCCAGGTTCATCGGTGGTGGTTCTCTCGTGTCAGACAACTGGGTCCTCACTGCTGCTCATGTCCTGAAAACCTATACAGACACTTCCCACCTGCAGCTGAAGATGGGCACAGTCGAACACCAGGACAATGAGGCAGTAGTCGGGATTCCACAGAAAATCTTTATTCACCCTCAGTACCATCACGATAACGTTAATTTCAACCACGACATTGCTCTGATCAAACTGGAGTATAAGGTACCTGTCAGTAAAGCCGTCATGCCTGTGTGTTTGCCTGGAAGGGAAGAGCGGTTTGTTTTGAAGGTTAAGGACATCGGGAAAGTGTCTGGGTGGGGTGTGTGGAATACAAACAGACCTGCATTATTTTCCAGTAATCTCCAGTACATACATTTACCTGTCGCTGATTTTGAGGACTGTAAGGCTAAATATGACTCCACAGTGACTGATAAGGGGAAACTAGTAGTGACAGAGAACATGATATGTGCTGGGTTTGCTCAGGGAGGAAAAGATTCCTGTCAGGGGGACAGTGGAGGGCCCTATGCATTTTTTGACAGTCAGAGTAAAAGCTGGTTCATAGGCGGTATTGTGTCATGGGGTCATGGCTGCGCCAAGGCTGGGTATTATGGGGTTTATACCAAAGTGAGTAATTACCTTCCGTGGATCGAAGAAATCATGTCAAAAAACAGTTGAAACAGTTTGATAAGGCTTATCTTTGGGCAAATTATTGTTAATTATTTTTATCATGACAATACTGCATGTAGCCTACAGTCATTCACTTACTTTTTTTGGTTATTATTGTATTAATCTTGGTTTTGTACAGCACTTTGGTCGGCACTTGCTGTTTTTAAAAGTGCTAAATAAATAAACTAAACTGACATTTTGTATTCACTTATTTGCTTTTGGGGTACCAAACAAATAAAATATTCACTATATAAACATAGCCTATATAAAAAATAGATATCTTCAAACATTTAGTCACATGCCAGGGAGAATAATTTCAGAAAGCAGAAAGATGTCAATGAATTTGCTTAGTAAAATATGGTGTAATAAACTTAATTTATATCTTTCTAAAGCAAAAGACAAAGAGAGTGTGCTATATGGGTGAATTATTTTTTACATTGATTAATAATTATTTTCTTTAGTCAAAAATTGAAAATGGCATGACCCAGAGTTCATTTTCATGAAGCCATTGGTGTTTGTTTAAAAGTCAAGTATCATGATTTACAGTCATTAAGTTTTTATGCATTATGGATCTGATCCCAGAGTTACTCTTGTTGTCTTTTATCAGCAGCAGGGACCGTATGCTCTCTCCAGCCCTGTGTAATTACCTCTCCAGTGCGTGATTTTGCCCCTGTGGAGTTCTAATCATTCTCAAGCCTACTTCAACCCATGTCCTATTGCAAGAACTCAAGGTATGAACAACTGAACGTTTACTGCAAATACTGCATGCATTCGAATCAACACATCATACCAACATTTACCATTTAAATACATTCATAACTCAACTCAACTTTTATTTATAAAACACTTTCAAAACCATTAAAATGGACCAAAGTGCTGTCCACAAATAATTAATATCTATAAAATACACAGAAACATAAAATTACATCAAGACCACAAAACACTCACAATTCTCAGATCTAATCAAACGGCAAAAGCTTGATGAAATAAATCAGTCTTTAAGTCCTTTCTAAAAATATCCATGTTTGATGGACATTCTATCAAATGTCAACGGGCCGTATATATATATATATATATTACTTAAAGTCTCATTTGATATCTTGCTTTTTCTAGACTTAACATATTCTTCAGCCTATTAATCACAGTATGCTAGCAAGATTCAGTGAATGATCAATGCACTGCGGTTGTGCCCTGCATGACACAGCCAATCCATCATGCAACAACAGACCCCAGTTGAAGCTGTGGTCACGCTTGTCTGGTAGATAGTACATAATTCACAGTTTATTTGCTTTCTTCAGGTGGTCAGTGTTCAGTAATGTGAGGGCAGGGTGTGCAGTGTCACGCATTGATCGACACACTGACATTATACCAACAATCAGAGGCAGCTAATAAAAAGGTTCCTTAAAAAGAGCATTTAATCGGGCTGCTTAGTTTCGAATACGTCATTTGCACATTATAAAGACCAACAGATGAAGACTTAGCATTATAATTACCACACAAATAGGAAGGTTGTCAAAAATATAAGGTAAAAATAAGACATGATTTTGCAACAGTCTCGTCTTTATTCTGATTACAGAGGAAATTATATGTTAAATGTTTCAAGACTAGAACAGTAGACTATAACCCAATAATAACAGTTCACTTGGTGTCTGCATACATACCAGTCTAATGAATTCCACAGGAGCATCTCTATATCTCTGTTGAATTGATATTCGAATTGATATTCTGATCACTAGCATAGTCTAACAATGGCCAGAATTCAAACATTTGAATCAAAAGTACATCATCACAGCCACAAAACAGCACAAGACTGTCCGACTGGCTTCACAACCCTGCCCGACACCAATCACAGCTTACATACGCTCATTACAACGCAAGGTAGGACTACATCAGCATGGAAAAAGATGCTTTTAACAAGACATTCTTGGGGAATAGGAACAGGTCTCTTCATTAGTTTTTCAAATGGAAATTTTATCCACAAGCATTACCATTCTCAGTGCTCTCTGACAAGCTGAAATATTTTTTTAATCATTATGGAACTCGACGATACAATTTATATTCATGCCCAAAACTAAATGTCAAAATATTTGTGTTAATCTAATACGAGTATTTGACATCATTTGACGTTTCAAGTAATGTTGTGAACAGTACCTCAACAAAATAAGCACCCCATGAGCTTAATTGCTAACATTTCAAATTTGACACATTTAGTGAACCTTGCAATACCAATGTAATATATTCCTTCACTTAACAGTATCATATTAAAATGCCATGTCTGCCAGCATATATTACAGATGATGAAATTAAGATTGGACATGTTTTATTTGGAACCATCAATAATGAATTTAACTCCCTTTTGAAAGAATTATTAACATTAGATTTAACTTTAAAATTTAGGATTGTTATCACCAAACAACATACAATATACTATTATCAAAATAAATCCGTATCTAAAAATTGTTTTATTTTTAACATGAAATGTAATGAAGTATTCCAAGAATTTAGACTAGAAAAAAATGTGTTATATTGTCAGTGCGTTTGTTTTTTTCTGCGTTTAGCTCGGGTCTCTCTCTCAGCTTGTGGTTGTGAAGTGGACTGGTTTTGAGCACTGATGGATTGCAGGGCTTGAACTCGCTTTAGGCGTTTACTGAGCTCACTTTCGCATGCCTGGACCAGCGCTGATGCCCTTTCACTGTCCCAGCACAACACCTCCATCATGACCTCCACTCCCTGCCTCACCACCATCTGCATAAACAAATATATCCATATATGAGACCATCATACTAAATTAGTCATCTTAATTTACCAAACACACAAAATCATAATTATTTTTATTAATATGAATGAATTAATATAAGTAATATGTATTTCTCTTTAAATTAAACTGTTTGCAGATATACTCCCGTCTTGCATTCATTCACACCACTGAAAAGAGTGAGTGCCCCCTACTGATATACCGTATGACTGAAAGTACAATTTTTTTTAATTTTTTTTTATTTTATGACATCAAAATTGACCCTGAAGTATGTAATGCCTAATTTTCACAATTCAATCAATTCCCAATGGACAAAAATCAAAACCTACCTTCAATTTCATTTCAGTTGAATATCATGTTACACTCAAATATGTCAGATTACAGAAGCAGAATGGATTGTGATTCTCTAGTGTATAAAAAATTATAAATGTTTGCTTTTTTTGCTTAAAATCACTATTTATTATTTTTTATGGAGAATTGGATATTGGAGTATTTATTTTAAATGATTTATCTGTGCACATCATTACTTTTTTTAAATGAATGTACCCTTATAATCTATAATGTGTTTACTGGCGTGAGGTGGGACAACCCATCACTCACATGACATTACAGCAATAGCAAACCCCAACCATCCAATCAATTCCCGTTTCACTCAGATATGTCACAATAGGGAAGTAAAGACTAATCACAACTTTTGTTTCATGCAGACTTTAATTTTGAGAGATCTTACAACACTGTTGTGGTTGGATATCATACCTGTAGCTCCTCATTGGACAGTCTGGTCTCTGGGTATTTTTTGTCCTTCAGAACCATTAGCGTTGTGGAGTTGAACCCTGCTGCGGCCTCCACCTGCCCCCCATCTGTCTCATCTAGTTTAGCGCCTGCAGCAATGACAGTGGTTAACATCCCGAAAACGCTGGAAAGATTAGGGCTGTCACAAAAACAGATAACCTGTTGATCATCCAAGCTGCTACTTTTCTTCATTCCACCAATGAAATGAACTTGAATGAACTGGCACAATATTTAGATATAGCTCTGCGACACCATCTAGTGGCAGCAGAGTCAAAGCAACACAGTAAATAACATGATGTCACATTTAACTTAGGGATCTTTCATAAATTCCTGGTATCTAGAATATTTGCTTTAAAGATGACCTATTTTTAGACCTATTTTCTACTTTCTTTAGTGTGTAATGTTTGAGCATGAAACATGTCTGCAAAGTTACAAAGCACAAAGTCTAATCCATTCCATAGGGAGTTATTCTTTTAATCTGTGAGCACTGTTTCTGAAATTCCTGAAACGCCTCCATTGTAGTCTTGAGTTTTCTTTCAAGAAGATACACATCACAATAGTCCTCATATTCCTCATGCCTTGGGTAAATAATTATAAAAAAGGAGGCGAGGCCTGGTAGAGTTGCATTAGTAGTGTTTAGAAACTTGCGTTATGGTAAGTGTGTGACATTTCTGAAGCAGTCGGTAAAATGCGTGTAGTGACATTATCACTCAGGATTGGTCACTTGCCTGTTGCCTGGCAGCCAGTTTCCCTGTAGCTGTCCAAGCATGCTATTTGAGTGAAGTTACCGCAAGTTAATAATAAAATTCAAAGAAATATCCGATCATCCTCCATAATGTCCTCGATATTTACATCTTATACCGTATGTTAACTCTTGCATTACCAATGCAAAGACTGATGCATTTAAATTACAATCCAAAGAGCGGCCATTATCAGCCCCACGGTGCAAAATGAAACCACACGGAATGGAACGGTTACACAATGAGAACGGTTTGGCCTGATGCTGTCAAAGCGACTAATGTAAAATATGTAAAAAAATATATTTTTGACCATTTAGGCATGAAAACCTATTCTAGTAGACCCCAAACTAAATCTGATGATCATAATATGGCATCTTTAAACATATTCCTACTTTCTTCTTGTGGGTCCAAGGCGCCTTCTCGCTCCATGGCTTTCAAATAGAGCCTCAGTAACTCTTTGGACTGTCTCTCTTCTTCCCTGCGGTCCAGCATTCTCTGCAGCGTGTCCTGTAGGACCTTGGTTTTCTGCTGTGAGAAGTTCAACCCCGCAGCCAGATCAGAGCATGGCACCTCAATCAAACTCTGTAACACATTTTATACAATTATTCTCTGAAAACCACAGTAAAACATTGGCTATTTACACAAAATAAACATACAAATAAAGGGTAGAGGTCTTTATGTGGCAAAGTAAAAACCCAAAATCAATCAGACCTGTAAATTTGCCTCGGACATAAGGATAATACTGGCCAAGTCCTGTCTGAGCTGCTCTGCCAAACTGCGCCAAGATTCAAACCCATCAACATCGTCCTTTCCATCTGTCTCCAGATTAGCAGACCCTCTGCAAGGCTGTGCTGTGCCTCCATCAACTAGACAAATCATAATCAGTTTAGATTAGTAATGATGAGCTGGACAAATAGTAATAAAAATATCCTGGAATAGGCTATATCTCACTTTGATGAGTATGCAACCATATTTCATCGGCATGCAACAGCATGAATTTTGTATTTGCTGGCAGACACAGAAAGTAAGCTTCGTCTTCTACGATGGTCCCATCTTCTTCTAGCACCACTGAGACTGATGCACTGGGACTAAACCCTAAAGCCTCACTCCCTGTGAGAGATGAGGAGAATGTGTCAAATGACAAATTGAGCACAGGATGAATGAACAGTCAATCTTAAGAAATGAGTAATGGCGTACTTTGTTTGATTGGTTGCTTGTTTTTTAAACCCATGCCAGCTTCTTTGGCTATTTCCATGGTGCATAATAAATTGGCTTATTTGGACACAATCATGGGTATAACATGAATAAAACAGTAGAAATATAACAATCCAATAAAAAATCATAGAAATTAACAGACAATGAGATATATTAGAAACTGATGTACATGGGCTTTGTTGTTGTCATATAACATGGGATGGGAGAGAAAAAAACAACAACAAAAAACGATCCTGAAAACTTCGATTTTTAAAAAGTATTTAAATAAATAATATTTTTTTCATATACAGTTGAAACTCAAAAAAATAGAATATTTAATATTGTCTTAACACAAAATATGCAAAAACACGCTATATAAATCAATTTGCCTAAATTAAAAGTTGTTTATTTCTGCATGTATGATACGTTTTTTAACGGGCGTAATTTAGTGCTGCTTAAAATAATGCATATAAACTTCCACCTGAATTCAAGTTGAAGCGAACTCATTCATTTTCAAACCCACCTTTCAGTTTGAGTTGATCCAGAGAGGTCACAGCCAGCCCATAACACTTCTGTCGGCTAATGTTACACACTTTACATACTATTAATTCTGCCATAATGATAGCGTGATAGTCAAAGTTCAGAGTTCATAATGTAGTATCTTCAGTGCCCCACACTTTGTTCTTGGGTGATATTTTTGAGTCTGAAAACTCATAAATCCCATAACACCTAACTTAATATTGTCACCATCTGTTTGACATATTCTGCTTCCGTGTTTTGAAATGTGCTGATAGAATAATACAGTAATGTGAACGAATCGTTCTTTTGATTAGAATCTTTTAAATGAATCAATTGAACCGATTTCTAAAATCGGACTGAACTCTTAGTAAAATAATCATCACTTTGAACTGGTTCTTTAAAACGAACTGTTCAAAAGAACTGACCAGAGAGATTCGAACTTCGAATCACTAGTTCAGACCAGAGCCATTGAGAGAAGAATGGCATTGGTTCAGACTAAAGCAATGGAGCACAGCTGAACCGTTAGCTTCGTTAGCTTCCTGGCTAGTAGCTCTGAGAAGATGGCATCCTCGGACCAACCTGACCAACAAAATCAGGTAGTTGATGAAATTTCGCCAGTTAGCCACTTGTATTTTGCTTGTTCGGCCGTGGACCTGCATAGTAAACGCACAGTTTGTCACGTTTTAATTATTGATTTACTCATAATCTAGCTGTCCCATGTTGTTTTGGAAAAAGTTTTAGCTGGTTTGCTAGCGTCCTGCTCACTGTCATCCCATGCAGTTAGACAGATGTGTGTGACAGGTGCAGGCCACAGAGAATAGTGCATTCAGGAGATTTCACGGCAGATCTTAGTGTTTGGATCTGTTAAAATTAAGCTCCTTGGGGACCGTTATCACCTTTTATTTGTTATGTTCAGTCAGGGGTCATTGACCCTGAAAATAAGACACGGGTCACAACAGGGGCGTAACCATCATTTCACCATACCATTTTTTTTTTTTTAAACAGAAATTGACAGCTTTTATTTCTTGCTTTTAATTGGCTAAGATGGCAAATACAATGCTGGACAATAACTTAGCCTATTATTTGTAAATATTTTCCCTTATGTTTTCCTAATGCCAATTTTATGATTGGTTTTATGTATTACACACAAGTGTGCATTAAGTCATCATGGATTTTTCACAATGTCAAAAAAAGTACACATACTTTATATATTGTAATAAAGGCACTGCATTATTATTGTTATCAACATTTCCTAAGGTGGCCTAAAAACACACATAAACCATATATTGTCGTAATCATGTGTTCATTGTCTTCATGTTTGATCTGTCAAAATGTATCTGCTTTTTATTCAGCTACAGCGATAGCTGGGTGCACTTATCTATAAGGATTTCCTGTAAAGTCATAAGTTATTACTTCTATGAGTCCATTATGGAATTTCTGTAAGAGAGAGAGCACACTCTGGCTTCTAGTGTGAATGAAACTTGCATTACATGAGAGTGTTGTTAACACTTCTTAATGTTTGCTTGCTTACATTGCCTGGTTTTGGATAAGAAAAAACATCTGGTCTTGCATAGAATATTATCTCTTTGAATATTAATCTAGATTTATTCACATTGTCACATGAAAACTTTATAGTGTGGGGGACGAATTGATATGCATCCCTCCTTGTGCTCATTTGTCTTAAGTTCAGAAAAGTTTTTTTCTGTGTTTACTGCTAAAGTAAAAGCTTTGTTTTTGCAATGTTTCAGCAACAAATTTTAATTGAATTGATTGTTTACCCGAAAATGAACAGTCTGTTATCATTTACCCACCTTGATGTGCCAGACTTGAATGTAAAAGAAAAGTTTATGGGAGAGAGGGTATCTTAACACATTCAGGGGCGTGGCAATATAATTGGAGGACAGTCAATAATTGGAAAAACATTAAATAACGTACAGATATAGTATAATTTATAATAAATTCAGAGTTATTTTTTAAAATATATATATATTGATCTATTATTCTTTTATTCTTATAGGAAATCTTATTACTTTAATCCATTCATAAAATTGTTTTATTTATATTTTTTCTTTACTTATCTTTATGTCCTAAAATGATTTTAAACTTGAGTCTTAGATATCCCTTTAAATTGTGTAAAATATGTAAAGCATTAATTATAACCTTTAAAATGTGCTATATAATTCAGCAACAAATTAAAGGCATACCTCAACCAAAAAATAAAAGTTTTATTATTTACAAATCTTCATGTTGTTCCAAACCTGTATGAATTTCTTCACTAGGACACAAAACGAAATGTTAGGCAGAATGACCATTAATTCACCATTAATTTCTATTGCCTATTTAAATGATTTTTTCAAATGATGTTTTTTTTTGGGGGGGAGGTATCCCTTTAACTAAATGATGTTGTAATGCAAATTTAATGTCTCAGATTCAAGAATAGGATATGAATTTTCAACCAGAGGTCCCCAACAACATTTTTTGATTTTGATAATATTTTGTCTGCATGGTTAAAGAAACACATAAATGAAGAAGAAAGCTATATTAAATGTTATGGATGCATATTTACTGAGTAATCCACTTTTGTAGAGGGGATCAAAATGCCATTTTTTTTTTTACCTGATATTTATAGCTGAAATTACAGTGGGTTAAAATATGACTAGAAAGATGGCAGCATTATTTTATTACACAGAAATTAGTTGGTCTATTAGTTAGATCTCTTCACATTAGCAATCTTTGTTGCATTATATGCCAATGGAGAGTTCAAAAATGGTTGTGTTTTTTGCCTCAAGTTAATATCCCTTAAATATCCCTTTAGGTTCTGGTTCTTAATAAGCTTTTCTTTTGGTATCTTCATTTTAAAGGCCCCATATGGTACAATCCCAGAGAAATGGACATCTTAATGCGGCTCCACGAGTAAATTGGTGAATTGAACGGGTTGTCAGTGGTCATATTTTTTATGGAAATCATGATAGATATATTTTTTTCAGGATTTTTTTTTTTTTTTTGATGAACAGAAATTTCAAAAGAACAGCATTTTTAGGTATTTGAAGTAGATGTCTTTTTTTTGTAACATTTTATATGTTGCTGTCACTTTTGATCAATTTAATGCTGAATAAATGTAATATTTTCATCTTTTTAAATATTAGGCAAAATTTTACTGACCCCAAACTTTTGAACATTACTGTACATTTCTGGTGAGGGATTATTTATGATTATAGTTTTACCATGTAAAGGCTTTTTAGAGGTGTGGAGTCAAGAACTGTGCTGTACTGTACTAGAATCACATGTAGTCATAAACTCTCCCACTAGGTGGTGCTGTAACACAAGGCTTGTTTCTTTCAGAATGCTGCTCCAGCCAGGGAAGACACGGCTCCAAGAGAAGCGCTGGTGAGTTTCACAAGTCATGCGTACCTGCACTCATTATTCTCTAGAGTTTTGTTGAAAGAAAGTTTATATATATATAATTGTTTTACATTACCATTAGTATTATTACCATATACCTAGAATACAATTGGACAAAAAACAGAAACAGATGAATCTTTTTAAAAAAGTGTATTTTGTTTTCCCATGTATTGACCCCATTGTCCATGTTGAGATAAATCGTAATTTGCTGGTGACCTACAATGATCCAATTCAACCATACTAATAAGCAAAAATGACTTTAGATAAACATCACATTTGTGTTTCATTTTGTTTTGTTTTTATTTGTGAAGTATTTGTGAACTTCTCCTGTATCCTATTCTTCTGCAATCCAGCAGCTGTCACTTTTGAAGTCAAAGGGCCTTTACATATGCCACAAATGTATTTAAATACGAACAAGAAAGCCCAGCACAGGTGAGAAAAAGTAACGTCAAAGCAACTTAATGCATTAATTTCATTAAAAGTAACTAAGTATCACAATTAGTTTATTTTTGGGGGAGTAATACAATATTGTAATGGATTATTTACTTTTAAAACATTTGACCATTTATTCGTAGATGACTTACTAGTAGGTAGTTTTGTGAATGCGAATAATCCTCACCAATCCCCATAGTGTGCTTCTCAGCAGCGGAACTGCTCTCTTTCTTTCTCTTAAACTAGGAAGTTCTTGGATTATCTATGGCACATTTACTATCATTGGACAATTAGGCTGTGTATTGTTCGGTTTTGTGTGATGTGATTTTCTGCTATGAATGATATCTAGCCATGCTCAAAGCACTGTCCTTAACAGCGGGGAAAAATGCTGATTATTAAGGCTTCTTGGCTTTCTAACTGCTTGACAAGTCCCCCTTTTTTTCCTCTGCTTTTCTCTTTTTGATGAGCTGCTCTTTCCCAGTTAAGTGGATTATTACAGCTCTGGATAATTCATGTCACAAGGCATTATTTGGATGGGGTGAATAATTGAAATCTGTGTCTGAAAGGATTTGATGTGGATGAGCGGAAGGGGAGTAGTGGCAGGGCTGGAGGGAGGCTTTGGGCGCGAGTGCCGGGGTGTCAGGCTGGGGACACCAGTCATGTTAACAGGTTCTGACTCACCTCGCCGGATGGGCGGCCCTCGCTCCTCGGTGGCAGGCAACTCTGGCTGGAGTCTGAGCCAGAACAGGTTTGGACCTGCGCTGTCACTCAAACCCAGTACCAGTCGTGCTCAGGGTTGAGCTCTTGCCTCCAGGGGTTGTGCTTCCTGGCCTGTCCCGCTACCACACACTACACACACACTGCGCAGTACTTGATTTCAGATTCTTTTTAACCACCCACTCACTTTTCTTTCCTTTCTTCTCATTTTGGTCCTCTCCTTTTTTTCATTTTCCTCTATTTACTCATAAATACTTGTGTTGTTTTCTTGACATTTTTACTTAAATTTCAGTGTCATTTGTCCTGTACCCTTGTGTTCCTTTACATCATTTTTTACACTTTAATTTCCTTCTTTCTTTTCTTATCCTTTTTATGTTTACATTTCCCTTTTCTCTCTTTTTCCTTTTCTTTAAATTCTACTCTTTCCCTTTTCTTTTTAACTCTCTGTTCTTTGCCTTTTCCATTTTTTTCTTTTCCTCTACATTTTTTTCCTATAATTTTCTATCCTTTCTTTTCCCCTTCCCTTTTGCCTTTCCATTCCACACACCTTTTCCCTGCCTTTTTCTCTTTTCTCTTCTCCTCTTTCTTTTCATGTTCCCATGCTTTGTCTATTCCTCCATTCTCTGTCTTCAGTCTACACCTGACAGTATAGGCAAATCAGCCTTTGCGTTTATTACATCATAGAATGCCTATAAATTCCCAACTGAATAACATATCTGAATTTTAATGCAGCAGTAAAAGATTTAACCATATTCATGATTGGTGGAGTTAAATATCACCTCAGGCTGTCAGTGATCCAGTGCTGTTTGACTCACAGAATCCATGTTTGTCAGCTCTCTCGTTTGCCTTTTAGTCTTTTGCGGTTGGCTTTTGCCTCAAAGGTGTGTGAAAGGTTAAATATCTTTCCCTCCAGTGGTGTTTTGCGGTACCCTTCTGCGATCCACCGCCTGTGACTGTAACGCTCAGCGTGTTGGCATGGTAACTGCCGGCTCCATGGGATGCTCTCCCATCCCTTCCCTGCCCGCTGGGGCTCCACTGTGCGCCCCAAATATCACTGGCCTCCCGTGGAAAGAGCGAGGGATGCAGGAGCAGAGGGAGGAGGTGAAAGGAGGGGGGAGGAAAAAAAAGGAAAGTTGTTAGAAGAACATCCCGGTCTCGCCGCAACTTCAAAAGCTCCCCTTCCCCAGGATATTAAGCAACTGTGATGAAAAATTTAGCAAGCGTTAAATAAGGCGCTTTGAAGTGATCTGTTTTGGCTCGGCAGTCTCTGAATTTCCGGAGCTCCTCTGCTGTCACAACTACGCTGGAAAAAAGAGACAGCATCCCCAAAGCTGAGGAATTGGGGTCTGCCTGACGAGATGCCAGTGTTGACATTATAGCCTCTGGCAATGACCATTGCGTTGACTCGGCGCTCTGTCTTAATTATACCATTATTTTCGTAATATCATGCACCTTGCTTGCCCTCTAGGCATGGAGACATCTGTTGCTCAAATGTTGGTTTTGAGAATGAGCTTCCACCTCGCAGGGATCCGTGTCAAAGAACCAATAGCAGAAAGTATCGGTGACCTACCAGGAGCGTTCATTTATATTCATGGTCCATGGTCCGCTGTTTACATTTTGGGACAGCATTTCACTTTTGTTTCAATTCTGCAGTTCCTGATTATGAAACTTGAAAGTTAATTATTGAGGGAATGAGGGGTGGTTAGCCAGTAATAACCCAAAAGACTTACTCTGTGCTCACTTTCAAACTGTGCTGCAATTTAATTTGTCTGGGGATCCATCCTTGGACTTTTCTCTTTTTTCCTCCCCTTTGCTCATTACTTTAATTGTAATTGTAATCCTTTATTGGAGCTGTCTGCAGTAAAGGAGAGTTATGGTTGGCATGGGGGCACAGGCCACGGAGATATTTCATGATTGTTGGGGATGATGGTCACTAGGTGCCGATGAGCGGGCCAATGAGGGGTCTCTCTTTCCTGAGAGATTGCCTTGAGGATCTGGCTGGGTTGATTGAAGCAGCTCACGTTGGTAGAACATATTTTCCAGAGCAGTCAAAGCGGCATTTATTATTTGAATTTCATAATAAAATTTACAGAGTTTGAAAGCCGAGACGGTTTCATATCAAAAATAGTTGAAGGGTTAGTTCACCCAAAAATGAAATCATATCATGATTTCTCACCCTCATAATGACTCACCCTCATGGTGTTCCAAACCAAGAGTTCAACCTAGCTTTACAGTTTTTATTGTATATTTTTCAGCAAATAAATGCAGCCTTTGTGAGACTTCGTTGAATTCGTTCTTTTAAAAACATAAAATATATCTTCCAGACACCACACTTTTGAATGGTAGTGTATAAATTGCATATTATTGATAAATTAAATGTTAAACAATATTAAAGTCCCCCTAATTTTATCCTTTTAAACTCATTTTTGATCACCAAATAAATTTGTTATGCCTTAAAATAGCCTGTAACTATAAACCCTTGCTTCATTTAATATACATGGTCATATGAATATGCAAATTCACCCCGCCCCCACTCAATCACTCAAGCTCAGACAACCTGATCCACTTGGTCAACTTTACTGTATAGTGAATATTGCACTATGGCAAATGGAAATAGTGGTGTTGTTTAGCCATATGTTTGAACCAGAAACTGATTCAGAAGAAGTGGAAGAGTGAATTATGTAAGGTCATCTACAAAGTCTATGTATCATAACTGTACTTTGTTTTATGTATCACACACAGTTATGTGTCATTATGCTGACTGTATGTGTCAGCGTATGACACATAACGCTAATTAATATGATTAGCTTTTTGCTTGACTGTTATCAAACAGTTAATAATGTGTTTCGAATGTTAAACCATGTTCCCGTTCGCACCTCAGTCTGCCTTTTTTAAAAATCAGCATCCTTAGATAGAAACGCTTTGAACAAGTTAAATCGTCAGTGAAGAAAGGCATATAGTTAATCATAATAATATTGTAATATACATCATATACATAATTCAACTGTTATATTGCTAAATGTACCAGATTTTCCTTATCAACCGAAAAATAAACCTTGAGAACCTGGCTTCTCTTGAGACTCCCCTGCTTTGCACCATAGATATGCTGATATGCGAAAGCCTACCCCGCACATTGACTGGATTGGTTACAACATATTTGTGACAGTTTGCTGCAGTTTTAAGGAGAAATTCTCAGCAATGGTGTTGACATGAATTTGCACATGGTTTGTCTTGTAGCATAATAAAAACACAACATAGACACTATAAACAGCATTAAAATCTTGATTTTCAACTCAGGGGGTCTTTAATACAATAAACATATCTTGTTAGTTAGATCATAATTTAGCTGACAAATCCAGGTCGTTTGTTGATACCCCACTTGCACAGTTCTGGTGTACGCCATTATCCCGATCATACAGTATGTGCATTTTGGAGATGGATAAATAGGTCGAGGTCGGAATTACCGATAAAATATATGTTTGTGTGAGATATGGAAGTTTATTTTGTGTTGTTGCAATTGACACTGTCATATCCTGAGCTGTTTGAGCTTGTGTTTAATGATACAGCAAAGGCCTGTGGTTTTATTGTTGCTGTGTTGCACTTTTCCGCCCCCCACCAACCTTGTCCCAGCCGCCTTAGAGGGGCTCTGTGTGAATTTTCGCTGTCACGTCCAAGGGCGAGCGGCACAGGGTCAGCTAATTGCTTTTATAATTATGATTTCACGTCAGATTTATTGTGCATGCTTGAAGTCTGCAGATCAGGGGCTTCGGAAAATGTGTTTACAGCTTTTGGCTCGACTCATTCTCCTGTTTCAGTCAGCCTTTTTGACTCAATTT